TAAATCAGAACCATATACTGCAGCGGTGCGACAGAGGCTATGGGCGGCAGCGGCGGCTGCTGCGTTAGAGAGTATAGTCAGAGAGAAGGGAGGAGAGAGTTTATATAAGGAACAAATCATGACCGTCAGATCGTTACTACCAATCTAACGGTGAGATTAATTGGTAGTAACATTGGTTGTAACTTTACTTGGTTGTCACAATATCCTATCGTGGTCCATCAAAATTCAAAAATAGACCCTGATAATCAAAATTGTAGTCCCTCTGAAATTCAAAAAGATCAACATTAGTCCTTCAAAAGAACTAACATGGGTTATTTTGTAATCTAAAGAGATCACAAAATGACTTTTTTTTATGAGATAAAATTGGGTCCCATAATTTTGGTTGAGGACCCAAAATGTTTTATTGTAACAGTTTAGTTGACTCTTGATTATTATTTTTTTATGTTAAGTTAAATTTTTTTTTTTCGGTTTATATTTTTTGTATTTTAATATATTTAAAAAAAATTCCTTTTATTCTAAGTGTGCAGACATAAATAAAATTTTCTAGGTCCGCCTATGACTTTTACTCTACCAAAAAAAAAGACAGTTTTACACTCTAAATGAGTAATGTATAATTTCTAAATTAATATTAATAAAGGAAATATAATAATCTAATGGAAGCCTGCAAGATGAAATTAAAATCCGCTTAAATCCTCTATTAGTAATTATAATCATGCTCATCTTTATTTTAGTGGTATTTTTATTTTATTTTTTCTTAATTTAAAACTCAAACCTTTAAATCAAACATAAATTCTGAGTTTAAGTGATAATTAATTGAAAATATTATAATCTTCGAGAGATTGATACTCTACTTCACCCGATATTACTTGTTCAACTCCTAGGGTAAAAAAATCCATATAAAAGTGGATCATCAAATCCCTTCCCAAATATCGAGTTTAGTTTTGAGTTATTCACTTAATTTAACATATGTGGACTCAACTCATGGTAAGAAAATTGAATTTTCTATCGTAAATAAGAAACAAAGGAAAATTAAGTATAATTGAATAATGTTTTGGTAGAAAATGAGTCTTTAGTCATCATCATGTAGTAATAAAACTAGCTGCTTAATTATTACCAAAAGGAAAAAAAAAACTAGCTACTTAATTAAAAAATGTAAATCAAGTTGATAAAATACAATTGAGGTAGTTATTAATAAGCCGCCAAGAACGAAGTCAGATCCAGTCATCCAAATAAAAAATAATTAAAGCTCAGCAAAGCGATTTAGTGATCTCTTATATTACGTAGGTGATGATGCACTTTTTCCAAAAAGACAAGAAGAAAATAAAAAATTGGTTAGCTTCGGCCATGTAGGCAGAATGACTGGTCAAAACAAAAGGTCAGATCTACCCCTTCAAATTCAATGACTCTATTTTATAAATTAAATTCCTACAAAGAGGCTAAATCCAGGAAAGAAGAAAAGGTTAGGTCATAGGTGACGCTTTTCCACTCGCTCAGAATATTTATTTGTAAGCTTTTAAATTGAGATTTAATATTTTTGATAAAATATTTCTTTTTTCTTTTTTTTCTCTCTCCTTGTGATGTCTTGTAAAAAAATTCTATACACCATTCTAATAATGGAACTTAACATAAATCGTAAAGTCTAATAAAAAAGAAGAAGGAATTTAAGGAAACTAAATAATACCAACAGAAATTTCCAATTTTAAAATATACAGAGAAAGCAAAATCAAAGTTAAAAAGTATTATTTTTTGGGTTAGTTCGATACGTAACACTCAAAATATTAAACTCTTTATAATATTATTATAGGGAAATGCATTTGTCATATTACATGACAAATGAATAGTTATTATGTTAAGAAAAAGATAAAATAAATTCATTGAATAATGTGTCATCTTATTTTTTTAATATTATATAATTTATATTTTTCTTAACATAACAACTATTCATTTGCCGTGTAACATGACAAATGCATTTCTCATTATTATATATGTAACTTATATAGTATTATTTTTTTTATTATAATTGCTAAATAAAGTGGGGAAAAGTGATCCGAGTCGTTCTTACTGGGACTAGAGGGTCATAGTTTAAACTCAGGAAAAGATAATTATTAATAGAATCTCTTAATATTGAAGAATTAATCTCATAATAATGTTTGTGAAGATTGTTGGTCGAATACAAAAAAAAAATATTTCATAACAATTTATTAAATTAATTAAATTAAAATTGATTATTTATGTAAAAGTAAATATTTTACACCATCAAATTTTAATATATCATATAGTGGTACATACTAAAAAAATTAAAACTGTCATAAAACATTGTTAATCATTCCACTAATATAGTATTTTTTTGATTTAGGAAAAAAATATCAATAATAAATTAAATTTAAAATCTTCGGGCATCAATTATACCTTTTTATTTATCTAACAATTATCAACTTAACGATATTATTAATATTTTTCTCGTAGATATTGGAAGTTTGCAATCAATTAACAAAGTGATGGTTATGGAGGTTTGCAAGAATCAAACTCTTGCTCTTATCATCGATCCACGCTCCGTGAAATCCTAATATTTAACAAACAGTGAAATTAAATAGGGATAAAATATTGTGTCTATTTTTTTATGCTTATTTTACCTACTGATCTTCAGCACCATTAGATTAGAATTTTAACTAATCTATATCAATTTTCTTTTTCTCTTAAAATTCTAATATAATAATATTGGAGATAAATAAATAAAGTAAGTATAGAAAAAAAAAGCATAATATCTTATCTCATTAAATATTAAAATGTATTGCACAGAATTGGCGTGAAAGAGTACCATAGGAATCTTATTAAGATTAAAAAACCAAACCAAACCAAACCAAAAGCATCTTAACAAACCATAAAATATTAAATGGATTGCACGTCACAGGCGTGAAAGAATAACATAGGAACCTACTTAAAGTGAAATAAAAAAAACAAATCTAAACAAAAGCATTCCCTTTAAGTCATTATAAAAAAATGGTAATCCGCAATTTCGCACGTTATTATAAAATACATGCATATATAGTGATAGGGGAATATGTCCCTTCGAAAATCCGCATCTCCGCAGTTTCGTGAAAGATGAAAAGCTGAAAAAAAATGTATAGTTTTTTATTTTTATTTCTGGGATACATGTATAGAGTACAACGTTAATTATGAAATGAAAAATCTTCTTCTACCTCACTTTTCTCTTATATCTTCTCATATTAATATGGTGTGACATTGAAGTATAATCACATAATTTTTTTAATAAAACTAATAATAATCGGAAGATAAAAATTACTTAAATAAAATAATGATGTGTAAATGTGTTTGGATATACTATATTATTATTCTTGTAATCAAATAGACTGGTTTTTTTTCTTCCCTCAAGTTTCCCAAAAATAAAACACAGCCAGTTAATTTGCACGATTGAATTATTTTGTCTTCGTCAACTACGCCACCAAACTGTAATATATGAGACGCAGTAATGGGAAATTTCCCTCTATATTTCGAGTTAGAAGTATGAAGAGTACGTAAATTTAACGGTCCCTTCATGCTACATCAATTATTACGCTGGTACGATAAGATCTCATTCATTTAATATTATATACACACACCCACTGTATGATCTAATTAAGAATTCACTTGTTAGTTATAGAAGAATTGGTTTTAAATTTTAATTTATTTAAGTGGTATATAAAATGACTTTATGTCAAATGAATAGACGCTATTCACTTCAATTTAAAATTTAAATTATATTACCTTTAGTATTCTTTTAAGTATGTTGCGCTTGTTATCAAAAAAAAAAAAGTATGTTGCGCTTAAAAGTGATTTTATTTTATACTTGTCAAATAAAATTTATACTAAATTAAATTTTAAAATATTTTTTCTTAAATTTAACTAAAATATTTAATTAATATCAATTTTTTAAATTAGTTTTGCAAAGATTTAAACCAACATGGTAAATGAGGCATAACATAATTGCGTTTGGAGGTCAGGTACGTGCGAAATTACAACTGGTTATGAAAAAAAAAAAAGATTTAAACTTATTAAATAAAAAGGACTCAATTTTTTTTTAAAAAATTAACTCGTGCTAATATGAATTGCTTTTAAATTACGTGCATATTAAATTCAATCAAATTCGAACCAACCGGTTTTTGTTATTAACCTGTACATATATTTATTTAAAAAATCATAAAAAATAAAAAATTGAAAAATAATAAAATTAAGAAAATAAGAATTCGAGTTAAGTTGGCTTGAAAGTTTTAAAATTAGTTGAGTTAAGATTGAACAAAAATTATCGAGTTTTACTAACTTTCATCCTATTTAATACGGATGTCAATTTTATTTATGATCTTAATATGAATAAAAAATTAGCCCGATAGAATTATATACTACGAAATTTAAGAGAGAAAAAAATAATCATTTAAATTATAGGGCTTAAAAATGAAATCGTTAATAAACTACAGATTAGGACGAAAACAAAACTGAAACCAAATTTCAACGCGAACAAAAGAAAAGGAAAAAAGGCTTTTGCCTTGCTAAAATTAAATAAAGTCATGAAAATAACGTTGCCATGAAAGAACATGAAAAGTAGTAAACATAAGAATTCTTTGAGTTGTGCATCACTTATATCCATTTTATGAGCAATTAAAGGGATAAGCACAAGGGCTGCGAGGCAGTTCAATAGTTTAATTAATTTATTAATTCTAGAAAGTCAGCGCTACCTCATCACATTCGTCATGAGTCATTTGGTCAGATTGGAAATAACCTTATTCTCCAAGGCACCAACGTTGTACGTAGGACTTGAATTGAATAATAGAACACTCTAGAGCCTAAAAGCCCAATCACCTTCCTTCATAAAATCCCATCCCATTCTTTTTTTTGCCCCATCACCAATTTTCCCTCCCTTTCTCCCTTCCAAAACACACACAAACATACACATACACATACACACCACTACCCTTCCTTCCTTAATTCTCTTGCAAATCAATTCATAACATCATGGGAACTCTAGTGGGACATGTAGCTCCAGGTTTTGGGTTCTTGCTAATTGGTTTGTGGCACCTCTTCAACCACATCAAACTCCATGTTCTTAATTCCAAGTCCTACGTTGCTCCACCATGGTTCCCAACATCTAAATCCAAGTACCTAGAACTTTTCCTCATTATGGCAGGTTGTACAGCCTCCATATCCATGGAACTTTTCATAGGACCAGATCGCCACCAACCTTTTGACCCAGATGGAACCATTCCCTCTAACCATCTCCATAACTTCGAACACTCCTTAATCTCCATGACTTTCTTTGTCTACGCAGCTTTTGCTATCATCCTCGACCAAATCCACACGGAAGCACAATATGAGTTAACACAGATGCTAGGTTCCATAGCCTTTGGTCAACAGCTTCTTCTCTTTCACCTTCACTCCGCAGATCACATGGGACCAGAAGGCCAATACCACTTGTTGTTACAGCTTGTGATCCTTGTTTCACTTTCCACTACCCTCATGGGAATTGGCATGCCAAAGAGCTTCTTGGTTAGCTTCGTGCGTTCCCTCAGTATATTCTTTCAGGGTTTGTGGCTCATAGTTATGGGGTTTATGCTTTGGACCCCTGGTCTTATACCCAAAGGGTGTTTCATGAACTCTGAGGAGGGTCACAAGGTTGTTAGATGCTCTGATCATGACTCTCTCCACCGTGCTATATCGCTTGTTAACATTCAATTCAGCTGGTTCCTCATCGGAATCACCATCTTCGCCGTTTCTTTCTACTTGGTTTTGGTCAAACTCTATGGTCAAAAGGTTCAGTATTTCTCGTTGGGGAACGAGGAGGAGGAGAATGAAGAACGAGAAGATGATAAGTCAAATGACGACGTTGAGTCCCAAAAGAGAAGCGTACTTGGCAACCCCAAGAGCTTTATTCACGTAGGGAAAACTTTTTCACCTGTTGACATTGAAAGGTAGAGTTACGAAACTATAGGAGGGGGTGGTTAATTTGTGATTAGGTCGTTGGGGTGTATAGTGAGTACTATTAGTTTGGTGGGATCCATGTAAATTTATTAATTAAGCCAGCAATAATGTGGTTGGCTTAAGAAAACTTGTTCATGTGTTATAAGTATTTTTTAGACTTGGATAATTGGTTTGGGGGATTGTGTGTTTGGACTTTGGGAGATACTAAAGAATTATTAGTGTTTCTAAGTTTGTGGAAATATAGAGATTTTGTTGATTAATTTAAGGGCTTATCTATTTTCATGTAATTCGAAGGAAAATATCTTGAACAGGGCTCATCACTTGAAAAAAAAAAAAAAAAAAAAAAGGCATAGTTATCAAAATATTTGTAAGCCAAAAAATTAACTTATGTAATATAAGAATAATTTTTTCCTTATTTAACGTGGGTTATCACTTTGGGATTATTTTATTTTGTACGGATTTAGTACTAATTACAATGTCCTAGCAGTTTTTTGCAACCCTTCTGTTGGGAGGAAACTAGGAGCTAGCCGTGGTTTTGGTTTAGCACACCTAATTTGATTTTCATTATCAAATGGTGATATTAAGAGGTCTCTGTACAATGATTGGGGAGTAACATGCCGTTTCAATGTTATCAAAAAAAAAAAAAAAACATGCCCTTTCAACTAAGATACCTATCTAGTTTCTGTATTACGTTTCTTTCAAATAATAAAATAGTGAAAAAATATGTTTTAACATGCTCTCTTTTTTATATATGGACTTAACTAGGGGTGGCAATATGGGTTGAGTCTGGCGGGTCAACCCGCCAACCCGCCAAAATGGAGCGAGTTGGGTTGAGATTTTCAACCCACTAACTCACCTCAACCCGCCCCGTCTTGAAGTGGGTCAAAACGGGTTCAACCCGCCGCGGGGCGGGTTGACTCGCCGGGTTTTAAATTTTTTTATTACTTTTTTTATTTTTTTACAATTAGGTAGTATTTCATTAGTACTTAAATTTTTGTGATATTCAATTTTTTTTTATCTTAGTACTTTCTAGAAAAAAATAAAGAATAACAATTTTATTTATGACAAATGTTATCTATTTATAAATTCCTAAAGAATGTTTGACAAATATTAGTATACATTTAAGATTGAGACTAAAAAAATATAGAGAAGTGTGAAATAAAATAAAATAATATTAAAAAAATTCATAAAATATAATTTATTTTTGAATTTTAATTACATTTTTTTAATTGGCGGGTTGACCCGCCAACCCATCATAAAACGGGATGGATTCATTTTTACAACCCATATTTTTTGGTGGGTTGATCCACCAACCCGCCAACCCACCATGAAACGGGGTGGATTCATTTTTACAACCCATATTTTTTGGCGGGTCAACCCGCCCCGCCCCGTTTTTGACGGGTTGGTGGCGGGGCGGAGCGGGTCAACCCAAATTGTCACCCCTAGACTTAACATTTCTGCAGCAGCCGTAGATAGTGTTATCTACAGCTGACACAGAAAAGTGGGCCCCACAGCTTTTTAAAAAAAAAAAAAAAAACTCAGGATCAGTTGCCAGTTGCCGTATCCTAGGATCCGGACGCGGATCCTTGCTTGCTGTAGGTACAGCTGCTGCAGAAATCATTTTGCATTTATATATATCAAATAATGAAATAAATAAAGTATAAACGAGGTTGACGGATTTCAATATAAATATATTTTTTGATAGCTACCTGTGTTCAGATTTCTTTTGCCATCAAACCAAGAAGCTTGCATTGGATACTCGTTGAACCACCGCAGAAAGGGGGCAAGAAAAGAAAGCCGTAACGGAGAGGGTAAAAAGAGACCGATGCAGGTGCAGTTCGAGAGAAAAAGACAAACAGAGGTGAATTCTATCGTGTAATTCAAGAGAAAAAAGCACGAAACAATAACTAGCAAACGATTCACTTAAATATTAAAAGTCCCTTTAATAAATCACCAAAAAAAGTAAAAAAAAAAAAAGAGTCTCTTTCATAACTGAATTAGGCCGTTTATATTTGTCCAATTCTATTGTACTAATTCGCAGGAAACCTCTTTGAAGGAATTAGCTAAGAAGTATGAATTGTCTTTCGCTTTGGCCTTGTTATTATTTTGTTTTTAGGAAAGGAAAACAAGACTAAGTAGTGAAGAAGGAAGGATGAATTAACAGTAGCTAACAAACTCATGTGAAGGGCAGCAAGGGGGGGGTAACCAAACAAGAGATGTTAAAGGATGAATGAGAATCGTTTTTTGCCATGAAATCCGTATGAGCACTCTCCTCAGGCTTCACATGAAGCAAGGTGACTTCCAGCTCCCGTGAAGAAGGGTCCTATCCTAATATCTCCAATCATTTTCATAATTCATACACGCTAACCAGACAAGCTCTATCGAACAAAGGCACACGCATCCAAATTCACATTCTTAATAATTAAGTCAAATTTCAATACAAAATAAAACAGTTTCTAAACCTTCACGCAAAAGCTTGTAGGCTAAACAACTTTTCTATAATAATCAGTTTTATACACCCTTGCTTATCCGTGAATTTTTCACCTTGTTTATAAGGGGGTAACTGACCTTAGTATCGTTGCACACTGCCAAGTCTACTCTTTGTAAATTGTAATACAAACTATTACTATGCCACAGGTGTAATCGGATAAGCAAGGCAGAAACTTGCAATTTCAATGGTAAATATATTCGGAGCTCGCATATTAACTACAGATATAAGTCTCTTATAAATAATCTGCTCAACATAAACATATTACATAAATGTAAACTTGAGATTTGTGTGCAAGCAGGCAACTTCTATCATAAATAATGAAAGAATTACACTTCATGTTCTAAAGGAATTGTAAGCTCTTAGGTAACATATTAAAGAACTTAGCCAGTGCCCAATTATTATTACATGCCGGACAAATTATGTTTCTTCGCTAAAATCTATTCAAACTCAATAGCTCCTCAACACATCAAAAGACAAATAGTCGGTCATCATTCCTAAACTCTACCTATTATCTTAACAGTTATATTAAATGTCGGTCATAACAAGACCGAAGTATAACAGAAGTTTTAAGACATCCTTGACCGTTAATAGCATTCCTATTAGCTCCCCACATCTACTAGAATGTTGGATCAGGATCTTCCGGTTTGGTATCAGCAACCTCACATTTTTTACTTCCAATAGTGCATAATGACCGAGTATAGTCTGGATTTCCCTTATTTCCAGGTTCCAAAACAAATTATTTTGAAGCTCATATATAATAATAACAGTATACCTAAAGCACAACTAATAAGGGGTAATTCTAGACAATTTATATAACCTGGATCCATGATAATTCCTTAAAAAAATTTCATAATGAAAGATCAGCATGCCTTAGATTGGGATAAAAGTGACGTTGATGTTAATACTGAAAGTTTAACATCTTCATCCTTAAAATTAGCAAAACAATGTAAGTGAATTGAAGCTCCTTTAACTACCTTATAACACCACTGCACCCAGGCGTTCTCTCCATTCTCTGATTCTGCATGATTCTTCTTACCAATGATACATCCTCCCACCTTCCTGCATCTGCATATATGTTTGATAGGAGAACTTTACCTCCACCATGCGATGGTGCCAACCCTGCCAAACTCTCTGCAGCCCTCTCTCCTATATTGACATTTCCATGAGTTCTACATGCTGCTAATAAAGTTCCCCATATCACCATGTCGGCCTCCATTGGCATGCTCCTTATCATTTCCTCAGCTTCTTCTAATAGCCCAGCTCGGCCCAAAAGATCAACCATACAACCATAATGCTTGATATCTGGTTCCACATTGTATACACTCTTCATGCTTTTAAATATTCTTCGCCCCGGATCTACCATCCCGGCATGGCAACAAGCACTTAGGACTCCTATGAATGTAATCTGATTGGGTTTAATATGATACCTCTGCAAATCGGAAAAAACCTCTAGGCACATACTTGCATGTCCATGCGAGGCTAACCCACAAATAATTGCATTCCAAGGGGACACAGAATAGGCTTTGTCTCGCATCTGATTGAAAAATTGTAAGGCAGTGTTGATGCTCCCACATTTTGCATACATATCAATCAGAGCAGCACGTAAATTGTCATTCAAAGGAATAGACTCACTACATACATATTCATGGGCCCGTCTTCCTTCCTTCAATGTGCCTAACGTGGCAATTGCAGAGAATACACTCACCATGGTAACTTCATTTGGTTTGATCCCACCGGCTACCATTTTATGGAAGATTTCAAGAGCCATTTTGGGCTGTTCAGTTTGTGCGTAGCCAGAAATCATGGTACTCCATGAAAAGACATCTCTTTCAGGCATTTCATCAAAAATATGCCTAGCCTGGTCCATCATTCCATTTTTCATGAAACCAGCAACAAGAGCATTCCATGATTCTAGGTGATCTTTTAAACCCACTTCAAATTGCAAAAAGGAAAGGTCCATCATCCCACAAGCTGCATAAAAATGGATGATTGTAGTCTGTATAAAGTTATAACAGTCAAAGCCTCTCTTAACGACTGTTCCATGCAATTGCTGACCATCACCAATTGCAGTCAGCCGACCACATGCTGAAATCAAATTCACAACCATGACCTCATTAGGACCCTGTCCAGTTTGTAGCATTGCATGATACACCATCAAAGCTTCATGCAAACAATCCATTTGGATATACCCATCAATCATTGTGCCCCATGAAATCACATCTTTATCGGGAATTCTCTCAAACAACTCCCTGGCCGTGTCAACAAGCCCTGCCTTTGCATATCCATTCAACATTACATTCCACGAGACTAAATTCCGTTCAGGCATCTTGTCAAACAACCTTCTTGCTTCCCCTATACCTGAACAAAGACAGTATGCATGCATCAAATTCGTCGAAACAAGAACCAACCCCTCAACGAACAATTTAATAGCCAAGGCATGAATCATTCGACAGTTCAAAATTTCACCAAAATGTGAGCAAGCTGATATCACATTCACCAGAGTCAAATCATTTGGGACCACACCATCAGACCTCATGTCCTTGAAAACCTCAAGGGCTTCTTCAAAGCACTCATTTTGGACAAGACCCATTATCATGGTGGTGTAGGAGACACAACCTTTACCAGGCATTATGTCAAACAGTTGGCGGGCATTGTCCAATTGACCAGCTTTTACATACCCAGAAACCATAATGTTACAGGAGACAGGGTCCAACGTAGGACAAGCCTCAAACAGTAACCGGGCACCACAAATTAAACCGCATTTTGCATACAGGTTGATCAAGCTATTCCCAATGAACGTGTTGGAATGGAGTCCGAGTTTGAAGACCAGAGAATGAATTTGGCGGCCCTGATAGGAGGTGGAGAGAGAGGAACAGGACTTGAGAGCGGAAACCAATGCAAGCTCGTACTCTGCGTGATTCTGGTATTGCCTGGCATTGCAGAAAACGCGAATGCAGTGTTGTGGGTCTTGCACAAATGGAAGGGCTTTGGTGGAACTTGAAACCCATCTTAGATTTGGATTTGGTAACTTAACTGGAACATATCGAACCAAGATTCTGAGTGTAGAAATTAACACGAACATGAGTTGTGACCATTAGAGTTAAAATTCGATTTATTCTCCTTTAATCTATGCCCAGAGAAGAGACGTGATATCGCTGCTGAATTATTCTTATTATTATTTCCATCATTACTCTTCCCTTTTGAATTTCATTTTTCGCTAACAATATGTGAGTTATAGTTTAACAGTTTTTTTTTTAATTCTTATATTATTATATTTTAAATATTATTTTTTAAATTCTATTTTTCTTAAATTTTAATTTTTTTATTCTCTTAAAACAACTATATTTTATTTTTATTTTTTCCTTAAATTTCAATCACTTCTACTCTCAAATTTTTTAATTTTTTGATATTAATTATTTTTATTTCTCTTATCTGAATTGCTCTACTATTATCTATTAAATTAGAGTACACTATTTTAGCATTAACTTAATCTTTTAATTTGAGACTTTAACAATTGTGCCATGTTTTCCAATAAGATTTAGAGTAAACACCCTTTTTAGTCCCTGTCAATATCTACGAAGTCCTTTTTAGTCCCTTGCAATAAAAAAGGACCAAATTGGTCCCTGAAATTACAAAAAAAAAGTCATGTTAGTCCTTATGTCAACTCTCAAATATGTAGAGTGACCTTTTTCTTGTACTTTCAGGGACCAATTTGATCCTTTTTTATTGCTAGGGACTGAAAAGAACTTCGTAGATATTGCCAGAAACTAAAAAGGGTGTTTACTCTGAGATTTATCCAAACTAACACGGCTCCAAACTCACTACAACTGTTAGCAAATACGGTTTTCCATGTGGCTCGTTTCTTGTTTCCTAAGGCCAGCTAGTTTTTTGGCCCTATGGCCAGGATTTTAAACTCGTTATGGATTGCAATGAGTTATGCACAGTACTCGCTGCAACTCCCAGCAAATTTGGAACCATGACAGTTTGACAAAAACTCCTTTTAATTTGCTCCCCCTTAAAGAATAACAATTTACACAGGTTATTTCTAAATTTTAATATTTAAAAATAAATTTAAAGAATAATTATATATATCATAAAGTTTAAATTTGTCCTTTTTTTGATTTTGATTTTTTAAAATCTACCTAAATCAATCATGCACATTTCTTATAATTTAATTTTTTTTATTTATACTTTCTAAAATTTTATTTAAATTTAAAATAGCTATACAATACACAGGACTTACAATACCATAAACCCAATGAAATAAATATGCAACGTGTACAATCACATTATTCAAACAATGAACTGGCAAATTGAACGACTATTCCAATCCTTAATGCATATTTTTCTAAGGAATTAGGGTAAATAATTGCATTGCAGGGACAATGAAATCAGCAATTTCAGGACATCTACAACTAATGAGATGGGTCAACAATGAATCAAATATTTACAGCCGTTAATTCTGTAATAGCACTTACCTGAACTCTGAAGCAATAGTAAATGAAAAAGTGCATTTCATTTCACATGAAGAGGTGAATATATACACATATCACGTATTGCAACACACTAACATTCTATATATAAAGCACGTAAGGTCATAACTTACAATACCATAAACCCAATGAAAATGCTATACATATAGTAAGAGTAATTTAAAGACGAGAACTAAGCAAATTCACGATCAGGAAAGAGCAAAGGAGCCACAAGAGTCCATATATACAATCCAGCAGTAACCCACTCTGTGCCAATCCGAACCCATACTGATACCCATCCAACATCTATGAGGTCTGAGCTTTCAGATGAACTAGTCCATCCAGAAAGAAGCATAGCTGAATACATGGTAGCCAGAGCAAATATTAGGTGGAAGAATGAATAAGAATAACTAACTGGTCCTGCTTCCTTTTCCTTTTCCTTCTCCTTTGTTTTTCCTTCCTCCAGTTTTTCTTCAAGAAGAGGATTTCTCTCACCTGGAAAACATAACATTAGAAATGAGACGTAATAACTAGAAAAATCTAAAAAGGCTTCCAGAAACTTTTATCGTTTCAATTTCATGCTAAGTACTAAACCGAAAGAATTGTACTAATAGTACTAACATGATTTTCTAACATATACTAGTCTCACATTGAATAAATTAAAGATGAGAGTAAAACTTCTCATCCTATACTAGCCCCACAACGGGTAAGTATGAAATTTCCCATTTATAAATAACGGTCAAACTCTTATTGCATTACAAGCTCCTATTTATCCCACATTGAACAAATTAAAAAGAGAAATGCTGAGTTTTGGTTATAAATTAGGAACCAAATAACTAATGCAGTAAAGAAGTTGTAAAAAAAAGGGGTCATGGGTAACCAGTTCATGATCGGTTATTTTACCATTTTTTTAAAATCCTGTTTTAACAGGTTGATTGAACTAATCGAAGGACTGGTTCCTAGTTTTTCCGGTTGGGTTCTGGAAAACTATGGTATCCAAAGAGCAAAAGAATTTAATCCAAAATACCAACACACATATCATAAAGGAGTCGAAATATTTTTATTACCCGATTTAGGAGAAGATGGTGGTGATAAGAACGTGGTTGAAGATCCAGCACGAAGAGCAGAATACAACACTGATAGCACTGTTGTTAGCATGCCAAGAATAAGTGTACTTGTGCTGACAGCTCTGGACTTGTTGAGACCATTGCACTCATAGCCATGAGGTTCACTAGAAAGGCCCGTGTAGCACACGTAAGCACAGTAAAGGGAAATAACAGATGCAGGCAACAAGCTTCCGTTCACCTGTTTTTACATTCTCATTATTATTCATTTTTTTTTCAATAATAAAATAAAACAATGAGTACATGAGGCTACATGGATGGAAACCAACTAACCAAGTACCACACTTTCCTTCCAAACCTATCAAATATAATTCCCATGACGCAAAATAAAATTAAGAAGAAAGAAGGGTATTATCCAAAGCTGATTTTCGGACCTCCTTATTTTCACTTTTGGCCAACAATATGCTGTAACAAGTTATGACTAAAAACCAACTCTCAGGAGGGCACAATATAAGCTTGAGAAAGGGTCTCCCAGTAAACTGGCAGAAAGCCATAAACATCTTTTGCATTGTTGAGAAGAACAACATCCAAGAATAAGTTAATAAGTTTAACTTCTATCCTTCCACAAATAGGCTACAGGATTTAAGGACTTTATTTAGCATACAAAAAGAATATATTATTGGAAATTGCAAAACCCTCAGATGTTCTCTCATTAACAAGCATTTCATATTACACAAAAGCATGGAATATAATAGAGCTTCAACTGCTTAAAAGTATTTATTTACCTGAGGATGTAAAGCAACAACTGCAAACACAAAGCCAAGAATCATGGTCATGACAAGGAAGAAGACATTGAGGCTACAATCATATCCAGAAGGGTCGAACCAAATGAAAAGAATTCCTGACACCACATATGCTGCAATGTAGCATACGACTGATACAACAAGTAAAGCAATATACCTAAACAGGAAAATTTATTAGGATCACAATGGCAAATAGACAACCATAGGACAAAAAATTATATAAAAAATTTTCCGCATACCATTTCTGTTCATCTTTCTCAGCCCATGCATCATTCCAAGAGTGCGTAAAGTCAAGTAAAATTAGTACTTGAATCAATAAAAACAAGCCAGCACCAAATTTTGATATGAATCCTGCAATATTATAAACAAGCACGCATCAATTTTGAAATTATGGTTTAAATTCATATTATTCATTGGGGAATATTTTTTATTTTTTATTTTTAAAATCATTCAGAAATCAGGCCTCTCCTACATACGTTCTATATAGGTACAATATGCATATACACAGCAATATATACGACACTAATATCAAGAAGAAGCACTTTAACAAAACAGATTCCCTCTGATATATTAATCCATGATTATAAATTTATAATACATCCATTTCGAGAAATTGGAAGTAAGGTGTTAATTTGTTGCAAAGGAAATCTTATTCTCCCTGAACTGGACCAAATAAGGCTAACCTGACAGTGAGGCTCTTTTAAGTCCAAAGTCTACAATATATAAGGGTCAAAAGAACAAAGTTCTAACCTAAAAGAAAATGAATTGAATAATGATGCATTACCAATTAAAAAAGTTTAGCACTTGCATCCAATGATATGTTGTCATATAATTTAATGAATTTTATATATCATGTAGTTGTTAGCATAGCCAAACTCATTAAATGAGGAGCCAACACAAGATTGGTTGATAATGCCAAAAAGTTTAACATTGACAATGCATCAAAATTAAAAATTTGTGATCAGGGGAAAGATGCTTGCACATGCCCACTGGGGGGCCATAAACATCTCAAATAGTCATCAAATATAGGCAACAAACCTCTCCGTAAACTACTTTTCAATAGCAAATAAATCTGTGCAAAGACTCTATTCAATCATCAATACCACAAAGAATCAAAAGCAAGAAAGTAAAGGTTAGAGAACATACCATATATCAATATTATGACATCTGGAAGGAAGAACGGAACGACCATAAGCAATAACCAGATCACCACTTTCACAGTCCATCCACCATGGTGCCATGAATCACGCCTATCATTCCGGTCCTTCACACCAATCATTATAAGGGCTAGAATACCAAAGAACAAGAAGTTTCCCAAGCTCACGCGAAGAACTGCTTCTGCTTGATACCATTCCTTGGTGTGTGTCCCGGAAGAATCTATCCCTGTAAGTAAGGGTTTATAGACCGAATAAAAAAGGGAAAATATTCAAATCCTAGCATAGAAAAAATAATTTCCAGGGATAACAGATATTAATTCAGTGCGCTTAACCTATGAAGCATCGGCTCCGACACTTTTTTTCCGATACGTTCTTCTTACACGTTCTTGTTACGACAGTTAATTCGCCGATACGATACAATATGTTTCCGATACGCGTATCGGATACGTTGGAAAAAAGAATTCGGAATATCGGTGCTTCATAGAACTCGAAACTCATGAAAGTATCAAGAAACTTATATATATTATATATTGTGTTTGAACTGAAAGATTACTGCAAGTAGCACTATAGCAGTGAGTGTGTGTGGATTAACTTTTTTTTTTTTTTGGGGCCAAAACAGCCTATAATAATTAAACAAAAAAAAAAATTCTTCCTCAAAATTAATCAAAACCAAACATGCTACTAAATAATCTGTTTCTATATGATTCCATTCAACCAAAACTTCAAGCTTTTCTCTAAATACTTAAGAGTCATAAATCAAGACACCTAATAAATGTGGTTACCTTAAAAGGAAAATTCAACCTCACAGCTGAATGTAGTCCGTTTCTAAAAAACCCTAGGACATGAATATGAATCAAGAGAAATCCAATTTATCATCACACTTCACCAATCATGAAAATAAATACCCAAATGGAAAATTGTGATGAAAGTTGCAAGCTTTAGTGAAAGAATGGAAGTTACATGGGAGTTTCTCCAATAGGGGTGCTCCAACTTCTCTGAGAATCCAAGAAATGATGAGAGAAGCGCCAAAGAAAAAACAGTAACCGATCCTAGCAGATTTTTGGGAGATCCCAGATGCCACAGAGGTACAGAGACCACATGTCAAAGATGCACAGCAAGATACACAACACGACATGGCTGATACTTTCGCACTTTCTCTCTCCTTTCAGAGTTGAATTTGAACGCTTTCCAGTTTAAGGGAACAAACAGTCACAGATAGCTCCGAGCTCCACTCGTGTCGTTTGAGAATTTCTCTTCGCCGTTTAAGGAAACACTTGTCGCTTGGACAGATTCTTATCCCATATCGTCTCATGAAAGTGAAACGCATGGTTGTATTAAAAATATATTATTAAATGAGTTAGATTTAAATAAGGGTAATTGAATTCTTATCCTGTTAACTAAAATTAATTTATTTTGGGCTTTGGTGGAAAAAATAGAAACGTTTTCGAAATTTTATTTCTTTTTTATAATATGGATTTCTCAAATGTCTTTTTCTTTTTCAAATCTTAAATAATATAATTTTTTTTTTTTTTATAACATTAAGGGGCGAAGCCCCAAACAAAAACAAACAAACAACCAGAAACAAAAAAGAACTATCCAGGGTCTATATCCCTACAAGAGGAGATTCCCTGAAGATCGTGATCAAATAACTGAGCAAGGTGAAACGGCATAACTCTATGACTCCAGAATCCAGTATCTTTGTGAAGAGCAGACTTGGCTAACCAATCTGCACAGGAATTAGCTTCTTGGAATATGAGAAAGCGTTACCTCCCAATCCTGACCGATGACTGCTTGTATCTTAGCCACTATACGAGGCTGACAAGCTGCATTGCAATCAGCAAGCAAAGAGAATACTTCAGAAGCATCTCCTTCTAGTTCCACCTTCTTAAATCTCAATTGCCAAACCAATTCCAGACCTTTTAGAGTTCCCCAAAGCTCCGCCATTAAAGGAGTGCAAGCACCAATATGATACTCAAAGCCTCCCAACAAAGAGCCATCATCAGATCTGATAATCCCACCACAAGCAGCCACCTCAGTATTCCTTTCAACTGCCCCATCAATATTAATCTTCACCCAATTTAGCCTTGGAGGTTTCCATAAACTCATACGAGTTGGATGAATGCTAGTAGTAGCCATAGCCTTCCTACCCATGCAGTTACGAACTTCCTCTATATACATAGCAATTATGTGCGTTCCATGGGTTGGATGCTTGAAGTTGGTATCATGGACACTTTTGTTCCTCCATCCCCAAATGAACCAGCAAGAGATAAAAAAGACATCACGCCAATCATCTGAATTACTTTGATTCCAAGCTTTTGAGATATTATTTTCAACCTAATCTCTAAGATCCAAGCTGTAGAATAAGCTTTGCCGATTAGCTGAAACCAGAGAATTCCAAACACTTCTAGCATGCTTACAATCTCTTAGAACATGGAGATTTGTTTCCAACTGACCAGGACACATTTTACAATGACCAGATTCCCCACTCCATCTAGATGTGCGGTCTTTAGTAAGAAGGCGGCCATGCATTATGATCCACATACAAGATTTAACACGTTGAGGCCCATGCCATTTCCATATGGTAGTTCAAGAATTTTTCAACGGCATGAGAGGGAAACCAAGCATGTTATAATACGCGGTTTTAACTAAAGAGCAGCCAGCCTTTTGATTTCTCCAAATAATGTGGTCATTTCCATCCGATGCGCTAGGAATGAGAGCAGCTTGGATCCTTGCAACAGCTTGATCATTGAGATATTGACGAATATAGGGAAAGTTCCATTGACCAGTATTGCTGTTCACGAAGGCACTAACAGGGAGGTTCAACTCCAAACCTGTTGGAGTACGAGTAGCCAGAGAGGCAAGACACTCAGTTAAACCCAACCAATTGTCTGTCCAAAATAATGCATCATTACCGTCTCCAATCTCCCATTGCATTGCTTGAAGAAAAGATGGCCAAACACTACACAGATTTTTCCAGAAGTATGAGTCATATGCTTTATGATTTACTTCCCTCCGAAGATCCAAACCTCTCTTATATTTACTTGTTACAACTCGAACCCACAACGAATCGGGCGAAGTAAGTATCGTCCATGCAAGCTTGTGAAAGAAAGCCATATTTTGGACACGAAGGTTAATCACCCCTAAGCCACCCATGCTCTTAGGCTTGCAAATATTATCCCATGCAACCAGATGAGATCTCCTTTGACCATTTTTATCACCCCAAATAAAGGCACGCTGCAACTTCTCTATTTCATCACAAATGACTACAGGAAGCAGACTGTGTTGCATTTGAAATATAGGAGTTGCTGAAATAACGGAGTTGGAAAGAGTAATTCGACCGGCAAAAGATAAGACCTGGTTACTCCAACCAGACAACTTGTGCCTAATTCTTGTAACAACATCAGCATAATGGTCTTTGGTTACTCGACCATGTTTCATCATGGACCCAAGATATCTCCCTATATTGTGAGTTTGCTTAAAGCCACACACATTTGTGATATCATCTGCAATGTGAGCATCTGTATTTTTCGAGAAAAAAATAATAGATTTCGAAATACTAACCTTTAGGCCAGACATTGAACTAAAAGTCTCCAAGCAATCCACTATAACTTTGATTTGATCTAGAGAAGCTTCTGCAAACAGCATCAAATCATCAGCAAACATCAGATGGGCTATCTTAAAGTTATAGGAGGTTGCTATGATGCACGGACACTAACACGGGACACGACACATTAATTCTAAAAAATGGCATATTTCGACACGTTGGGACACATTTTGATATTAAATAATATTTTTTAATATATGTAATATAATTTATATTTAATAGATATAACAGTCCATAATAAGTCATTTAACCAATCAAATATTCAAATTTCATAACATAAATATAAACAAAAATAATTTTTCGTACCTTGTTAATTTTTCATGTCAAATTTCATAACAGAAAAAAATTAATTTATAAATGATTTTTTTATATTTAGTGAATAAAATAAAATTAAAACTAAAAAAAAAAAACGTATCCGAACGTTAATCACGTGTCGGAAAAACGTGTCGGAAAAACGTGTCGGAACATGTCCGAGAGTTGACCACGTGTCCTAAAATATTGACCGCGTGTCGGACACGTGTTGGAGCGTATCCGTATAAGACCATGTCCGACACGCACAATTTTAAAAAATCAACCAATCCGTGCTTTCGAGGGAGATTGTATGATAGGAGAAATATTAAATTCTTTAAATAAATACAAAATCTCCTATCAATGGTAATACTTTGCAAATATTATAAAATTTTCTATATTTCCTTTTGTTTAAAAAAAAAAATATATACCTGCAGCTTGAGCTAGCTCATGGTTATTAGATTCAAACTTCTAACGAATAAAGTTGGTATGGGATATTATTTTATTATCAAATGAGTTAGTTTCACATTAAAAAGTATAAAAATATCTTTAAAAACCCAAAAAAATTGTATGAATAAGAAAAAAAGAAGAACAAAGTAAATTAATCAATGTAATAACAAAATTGTATGAGTTAGTTTCACATTATTTAATGGATAACTTTTTTATTCCTCTATATTTTAAAGAAAGGAAATGAGTTAATTGTCGTTTAGTTTTTCAATGATAATGTTTTAATAACAAAAAAATTTAAAAAAGAAAAAGATTTTTTTTCCAGGGGTGTCCATACCTATTTGAATGAGATTAATCTCCTTCATGGCATAAAACATGACGGATTCTACTGGTGACCCCAAGTTGTTTCGCCTAGGCATAAAAACAGATTTATTTTACATAAGTATAAACTACATTCTTAAAACTTGTTTGATGCATTTTTTTAAAGGTCTTATAAGAGTTATGTTAGGAAAAGTGATTGTGTAATGTTATAGAGATTCGTTTTGCGTGCCGTAGTTTTTTTTTCTTCAAAAAGTGTGGGTCCCACAAAATATTGTGTGTATAGGAAAGTTTGCTGTGTCATGTTAAATGATAAATGCAAATCCTTTTTTTAAAGTTAAAAGTTATTTTTAAGCTAAATTTTAAAATAAAAAATTCAAAAATAAAGCTAAAAGTTATTTATGATTACATAAAATGTTTAGGTTAAAAGTTATATTTTTTGTGAAATTTTTTCACCGATTCATCAATTAATTCAGTCAGTAAGTTATTTTAGAGCTCAAATTAAAATTACATTATTTGGTAAAATAACTTTTGTAATTAAAATTATCATAAAAGGTATCAAAAACCTTTATTATTTAGATAAATACAAATATGGTAGGATATTGTAACAACCAATTAGTGTTACAACCAATCAATTTCATTGTTAGATCGATTGTGTTGATCCAACGATTATATTTATTTTCATTTTTGTATTGTTATGATTCCCTACCCTATTTAAAGTAAAAATATTGGGAATCATAACCATATAAAGATGAAAATAAATATACTCATTGGATCAATATAATCGATTTAACGATAAAATTGATTGTACCTACGATATTATCAAATTTATTTTTTTCCCACAGTTTTCAGCATAGTAAGAGGTGTTTTGATCTTGTATCCTACGATATTATGGGACCTTATAATATACGGCTTCATTTTCTGGTACTCGCTACTTTTTGACTCAATGCTATGTTTGTGCATGCATGTATGGTTGTCTATCTATAAACATATGTGCCCTAAGTCACGGAACAAATTTGACTCACATTCTTGTGCAAGTGTATTTTTCTTGGTTACCTCTATGGACATAAATGTTGAGCCTCAGAAGATATTTGTCTCTCATGATGTTTGGTTCCATGAAAATATTTTTCCATTTGCATCCTCTCGGTTTACCCATGATGATCAACGCCACATTGTAATTTCTTGGCAAAAAGTAATTTCTTACCCTTTTCAAATTGAGCACTTGTTGTCTCCATGCTTCTACTACGTGAGGATTTGTTAGGATTTATTTAGCAAATCATAACAGTTGACATTAATTAGTATCCGTTCGGAATTGATTAACAAATTGTAACAAATGACATTAATTAATTAGCTTTTTTATATGTATAACTATTGTAATCATATCTCAATATAAAGACATATTAGCATAAAATATTTTCAAAATACAAGAATTTAAAAAAAAAAAAAGGATTATGTGGAGATTGTCTTATACATACATTCGTTACTGCAGATGATAAGTTATCTACTGCATATAACTTGACTGCAAA